ATTTTATTTCTAAACTCCCTTGATAGCAGGTTTACACACCATTTTACTTGAGTATAAGTTGCCATGTTCATTTATTGGTTACAAAGTTTGTGTTATAATGGATATTGTTCATTTAATAAATATTGTAAATGGGACAAATCAAAAAAATTATTCATCTCAACAGTTATGAAGAGAGAGAGGGTAATATGAAATCAAAATAGTCCTTTTGAAATCTATTCCAAAGACAAATTTTGAATTTGATATAGATTTTCTAAATCTGGATTTGTTCGTATTTTAAATTGTATTGACGACAAAATTAATCATCTAGATGGAAGAGGATTGCCATTAACTACCGAACAACAGTTATTGATGGCATCATGATTTTATGCCACCAGAAGTTTTCAGAGGGTAGCCGGTGATCTTACCAGAGTTCATGTCTGTACTGTATGCAGGTATCTATCAAACTACCGTTAAATAAATTTAAAAAATTCTTTGTATAGTAATAGAGACGTTTATAATAAGAATAAGGTCTTATTGTGAGCAGACCAACAAGAAACAAGGAAGAAAATTCATTCTGTATCATCTCCCATGCAGTTTTTTTCATCCCCAGAATATGATTGTTGTAACCTTTCTCCTCAACTGCAGGTTAATTTTTTATAATTTTCGCCAGGACACTTTTCTCTTCTTCGGAAAAATTCTGGCATGATTTAAACATGTTGTTCGTCACGATTTTTCTGATGTCATAAACGAATGTCCCGATTGGTTAAATGACTCCTGAGAGAGGGGAGTAACAGCAAAGAAAGTAATAGCCAACGTTTTGCCATGGTTCATTTAAATGGCATTCAGAAATAGACAATCGTTGTCTTTGCAACACATTTTAAACTGCAGTCAGCTAATGTCTAAATGCTGTTTGGCTGTTAAACGTCATTTAACGTAAACTCTGTCTCTACAATTGGCTGAATGTGTTTAGGTAGTCTCTGTGTAGAAAGAATTGTTGGACCAAATCAACCAAATTTAGTGTGCTTGCTTACTTGACTATGGAAAGTTTGATTTTGCAGATAAAAAGTTTAGTTTCAAAATTTTTCTATGGAAAATTTAGTACTAATGTCACTGTAATTTGCATATTAGGTAGATTATGAAAGAAATTTAGGCAATACGGAGAAATTGAGATACAAAATGAAATGACTTTATTTCAATTTAGTGTGGTGATTATAAAATCTGTGACTTTTAACTCTCCCTAGGTTACAATGTTGCATGTGGTATGTTTTACACATCAAATTTTACACATGGAAATGTTCAAGTAACAATAAATAAGACTAATGGTTCTACTGTATGTGTTATCCATCTCACTGTTTTAAAGCATGCATTTGATGAACAATACACTTAACATACCACTCACCAAATAAACCATCACCAGTTCATAACAAAACAGGAAAATTCTTACTACAAATGTTTTTTGTCTATGTGAAATAGACATCTTCAGGTATTAACAATATTGAACAAATGGCTCGTAAAATAGAATGTTTTTTAAAAGTTCAGATTAATTACATAATTCGAATATGTTGTGTTAAACATTTTTTGGATATCACCATCAAAATGGAGCATGGTCATCTTTCCACCTGTGTTTTCCATAAGGAGTCATATACACCTCTATTTATATCTAACCATTCACATGACCCTTACTGTTACAAAGTCTCTGCTTTTCGATCTTTGGTAAAAAGGGTGCACACACATTGTTTGGAGCAAACTGAAAAGGAAAATGAATTGTCGTGAATCAAGGCCCTTACAACACAACATCGATACCCATCCTCTTTGGTCAAGCATCTCATAAAGCAATATATAAATAAAAGGGAGAGGACCATTTTGCAAGACGAACGAATGAGGATTATCACATACAAACACTTTCTAATATATATATATATATAGAGAGAGAGAGAGAAATTGCAAAGACCACTAAAGTGCACATAACATATTGATGCTCTCCAACAGTCTGCTCTTTCATCAGAAATGATAAAAACCATATAGATGACTCATACTCTCCAGGGATTTATGCAGTACCTCTTTACGATGAACAACTGCTCATTAACATACATTAGAGCAATGGCCAAAGGTCTCACCATGAGCATGAAAGAATATGAATACTCCACAAGAAAAAAGCTGACTACTATGGCATTAGCAACATATGAGAGTTATGAAGAAGTTCAGGTTGAACTACATAATGCTATATTGTTTCACAGAGTATCAGAGAAGGCACAACTCAAATACCTTGAATCGCTTGAGATCTATTGGGCAATTAAACAGGGAGTTGCTATTAACTTCAAGGAAACGGACACGCTTTCCACAGCATGGCGCGCCATTTTTGATCTAGATTCCAAGGACAGAAACTTGCATTAAGGATAATTTAAATTACGGAGGATATTCACATCATAACTTACTTGAAATTAATTGATTATTTATTTGAATATGCTTCAAATATTTTACATATGTTTAAATTTTAATGCAATGTATTCAAATTACGTAATTAATCCAAACTTTTAAAAAACATTTTATTTTACGAGATGTCTGTTTGATATTGTTAATACCTGAAGATGTCTATTTCACATAGATGAAAATGTTTGTAGTAAAAATTTTTCTGTTGTAAGTTCAAAGTGAAAGATATTGGACTCGTTTCTTGCTTATTTTTCTGTTTTGTTATGAACTGGTGATGGTTTATTTGGTGAGTGGTATATTAACAATTACCCAGTTTTTAAATTATGTTGAAAACATACTTAACAGCAGAATGTAACTGACATGGGTGCAGTTGCCTCATATATAGCAAAATTCTGTTTTTAAGGTAGCTAAGTTAGGAATGTCTTCAAGGATCTTCAAGAATCCCTATAATCAAAACTCCCAAGGGATTTTTCCATGAATTTCAAAGAAGTTTGATGATCATGGTGGCAGTGCTATTAGCAATAATTGTCCGATCGTGAGTGCATTTAAATTTGAAGAGTAAAAGTGATTTCAAGTTGCAAATTATGCAGTCCTAAATGTTTTTATTTTAATCCAGAAAATAGTTTTAGACTAATTAAATGATGCTCTTTAACTTTGTCATTGGAACTTTTATGTTACTTCTTCTCATTAAAAAGTTACAACATAAATGACCTTGAAATTCTCTATCAAGGTCATTCCATTTGATTCTCCATGCATGATTTCCTATGTAAATTACATTAACAAAATTAATATAACATCAGTACTTTTGGAATGAAAAGTGTGAAAGGAACTTTTGAGTCACCCTGTATATTGATAAACAAGGCCTCCATTTTTTAAAAGTACTTTGGGAAGAGGTAGAATAATGTGGCCAGTTTTAAAAAAATAGTGAAATCATTTGTTTTGATCATAAACTACATATTCATTTTTCCTCCTATTTACTGTCTAGAGTGATGGACTTTTTTAACATTCAGTCCATTTTTGCATTCAATGCATGAAAAACTCTGATTTCTCCTTGATCTATTCCATTTTAGCAACTTAAAGTTCAACATATAATGAAAATCATTAAACTTTTGATGCACATGTAATTTGAGAGCAATCAGAAATCTGATGGTGCCTGATCTGGGCTGTAAGATAGTTAGAATAACCTGTATCTTTAGATTCTGCTGTTTTCTTACTGTAGTGTTTGTTGTCTTGCATTATTATGGTGCAAGAAAAATTGATTTCTTCTGCTCTTTGTGAATATTCACAGAGTAAGGGCTCATAAGTCTCTTGAGTGCTCATAGGATTTCACAATATGTAACCCTCCAATACTAAAAATTTAGCTACTGATCACTGCTTTGTATTGAATGAAAAAGATGAGTTTATGTTTAACTTGCATGATACATAAACACTGAACACTGAATGGATACTAAATGGTAGTGGAAAATGTTTATATCTCCATACTGCAGTAGACCTTATATACCAGTTAACTATGCATATATAGCCCAGCAGTAATGTATATAGTTGTACTTGTTTTAACGGCATTGATGATAAATAGAATAACAGTTTTTAGTGTTTTCAATATTAATATTAGCATAGCATTTAACTTTCTTTGACTCCTTATTTTTTTAATTATTTACTGTTAAGAAAGTTTATAGCATCATTTTTTCATTTAACACCTACAGCCATATGTTCTTTGCATTTCCTTGTTACATCTCTTTTAAAAAAACTAACAGTTTTTGTGCTTATCTTTTGAAAAGTATGATTATTTCTCAATTAACATACTTTTTGCAAACGAACCTGATGATAACTTCCAATAAAGATTTTGACAAGTTCATTTATAAAAACTAAGAGTGACCATAAGAAAAAATTATCAAAATATTTAAAAAAACATCAAGCATATAAGAATTGAAATAAATTATAAAGATATAAATCAACTACTTCATGTATTTCTGGCACAATATTATTATCAATACTAAAATGCTTATTTCGGAAAGCCAAAATTTTAATTGAAGAAGAAATGTTTTCATCTTGATCCAGGACAACTTCAGCTTACAATTCATAAAAACAAATATAAGGAATATTTTTATTCCTTATATTTGTATAGCCATACAATTGAAGAAGAAAAGTTTCATTCTGATCCAAGATAACAAATATAAAATATATAAGGAATACTTATATTCCTTATATTTGTTGTTATAAAATATTCCTTATATATTTTATATTTGTTATCTTGGATCAGAATGAAACTTTTCTTTTTCAATTAAAGATTTGGTTTCCTGAAATAAGACTTTTAGTATCAATAATGACATAAATATTTTGTGATTGACAAAATGAATAACTATATACAATTTGTATATAGTTTTCAGTCATTCATTTTGTCAAATTGCTTTATATTTTATTAAGAAAGACTGATTTCTAAGCACATAAAGATATAATTAACAATTGGTTTATATTTATAATTTATAATTTGAATAAAACTGAAGTTACTAATTTCATTTATTGTAAAGAAACAATAGATTTGATGATAATCTAATTTATAATAATTATAAATTTTAAAAATAATTTTTTAGGTATTTTTTACAATGACAAATGAGAAACAACAGCCTCAAACTGAAAATGCATCTGCAGTTACTGAAGACTTGCTTTCAGGTAATAATTCAGAAGCATCTTCACCAAAACCAATACAATGTAAGTATTTTCTATTAAATATATTCTATTTTCTATTAGAGATATATTAAATTAAATTTAATTTAAACAGTCAGTGTGGAATTGCATATTTTTATGTGCAATTCCACACTGACTTTGGAGTAATCCTAAACAACAATCCCTATTAAATTTTGACAATTACATACATCTCTGCTAAAGTGGACATTTAAAGTCCTGAAACAATAATATGTATCAATTTGATTTAATAATAAATATATTTTGGTCAAATTTTGTGTAAACTCCCTGCCTACTTATAGGTACTGAAAAATGTACTAACTAATCTCAGAAAGAAGTTAAGGTTTGCTAAAATTTTATTATCCCCAAACTATTTTTTTATGACATACTTCAAAAAATTAAAGAAATTACATATTAACACTAATTTGTATTTTATTTCTGTTTTTATATACAGTACAGCAATAATATGATTTAATATTATTTTAATTACATTTTTTATAACTTTTCTTTATTGAATAACAGGATTCTTATCCTTTCTACCTGTTTTAATTTCATGGCCATGCTTATCTGTCAAGTTAAATACATAATTTTGAATATTAGACCAGAGAAATTTTTCTAGTATTAGACTGGGCAGTATACTGATGTGATTACCACAACCTTAAAAAATTGGATATTTTTGTAGATGTGGTAAAAACAAATTATGTATTGTTTTCAATATTTGTGAGTTGTGTAGCAAGTGTTCTATAGCCTTGCATGCTGCATATTCGTCTCTTAAGAGAATAAGAAATTTTGCTTTGGCTAGCTATCTTAATCCACCTTGATCTTTTCTATTGATGAGGGCCAGTAAAAGAGAGGTGGACTGTGGGACAGAGATAGTTCATAAGCATTTTTTGCAGTCTACCTTTTCTTCAATAATTCTCATAATATATACAGTAAGCAGTACTAGCTGAATTAATGCTTATTTGAGCATATTTTGAAGGTTTGCATTCTACATACTTAACCTCCTTTTCTAGTAATTTTAGTTCATTTAGGCTTGGTTTAGTAGAAAATGAATTAGGGATAGAAGCTCTGCTGATGCTACTACTAGTTAGCCAAAAGTTTAATCAATATTAACTCTTTTATATTTAAAATTAAAAAGCAGGCAAATTTATAAAAAAAAATTAATAAAAGTACTAGAAAAATTAAGAGAAATTTAAATTTGATTATCTTTTGTGAAACAATTTTTAGTGCTGTTTCACGTTTTTAAAAATCATTTAAAAGTTGTTTTGAAATTTTCAAATTGTAAATCAAATAAAATTTTAAATTTACATTATTTTTGTGTGGTGGTGACAGAACATTTTGCTTTTAATATATATACAGATAGGTGAGTGAACTACTTGTTTTGCTTGCTGACATCCAGACAGTACAAGTTGGTTTGGTATTGCCTGCTAGGGGGTCTTAACAATTCCAGTTGTTAATATTTTATGCATTGATTGGATAATGCTAGTGGCATTTGTCTAATCATTGCTACTTGCAAGTTTTCTTCCTGCTTACAGCTCTGATTCATGCTTTTTTCTTTTTTAGATAGAAACTAAGACCCAGCAACATATTTTTCTTTTCAGTGCAATATGTAACACAACAGTGTATCATTTTAATCACTAAAAGTAAAAACTGTCTACAATTTTATAGAAATATTCCTATTTTATCAAACTTACATACAACTTTGCAAATGACAAATTGATAACAGGAGGGTATGCAGCACCTCTAGCAGAGAAAAATCACAAAAGTGATGAGAAGGAATGGAGAGTAATGGGAAGGCTTGTTCATTCTTCATAGGTTATGGTCAAACTAAGCAGCTTGATTGCTAACTATATGCCATCACAGACCAACCATATGTCTTTAGTACATCACTAGTTGTGGAAAGCTTAATTTTTAGAGATATATGCAAATTAATTTCCATGACATTATATATTTAGCCAATTAGAATTCCCAAACTTTGCTTTTGCTGAATAATACATACTTTGTCTTCTTCAAGTTGGTACAGGCATTAGAATCCAGTGAAGATTAATTTTTATTAGCTGTAACTGCAACTATTAATGCAGTTGGAGACAAAGCTACTCATAGAAGACAAAGAGAGTTGAATTGAAAATGGATTCAGTCCTGAGAAGAATGAGGAAATATGAATATTTTAGTGGAAGAACTATGCCTTAAAGACAGCTGTCAGAAAACTTTCTTCATCTAAACTCCACTTTTCTCAATTGTAAACAACTTCAGCCATTGAAAATACATGGAACAAACTAAATCGTCTTCAAACTTCTGTTATGTTTAATCACCAGAAATAAACAGTCTTTTTTTACAGAAATGATCTTTTATTAGAGGCTCTGCCTATGTAAAAATATGTAAAACGGTTTAAAACATTCTGCCAATAATTAAAAATACACTTTCAGTTAAAATGGCTGACAGTATTTTACACATTAAAAATACATGGAAACATAGTTTAATTGAAGCTATGTATTTTTAATTATTAGCTTATTGTCACAGAATGTTTTGTTTATTTTTATAGAGCATAACCTCTAATAAAAGGTCATCTCTATAAGTGAAGATTACTTGTAGGTTGTGATTGGACATAATGGAAGCATGAATATGATTTATTTTTTCCATGTATTTTTAATATGTAAAATACCATCGGCCAGTTTAATTGGAACTTCAGCCATGTTTACATTCATGTTACATGTTTCTCAATGTGATTCTTCAAATTTTTTATGGTAAATTCAGCTCTGTATATCTGTTGCACCTTTGTTGATACAGAAATCTAACTAGACAGATATCTCTTTTCTTGCCAGCTATGCCTTTTTTTATGTACTTTTGATGATTTCCAATGACAACATGTGGACATATTGCAGACAAACTATCTCATCACAAATGTCATCAGCAACTGGGTCTCACCAATATTGCCTAATTTGCTACCAGCCTAACACAGGAGTGGGCAACTTGTTTTAAATAGTGGGCTGAATAAAATCTTTCTAAGATACATGCAGATTAAATTTTCATGATTTGTAGAATTATTTTTTATCATTTTAAAGTGATTTATAATGGAAAAATTGTCATAAACAGTTTCATACTAATTATTGTCATATTTATACATGTTCATACATATACAGTGGGACCTCGTACTTTGAATGATTAACTTTAAACATTTCAGAGTTTGAACACTAAATTTGACAAAAATTTGCCTCAGATTTTGAAGGATGCTTCAGAGTTTGAACTGTGTATGCATGAAAAAAATGTGCTAAAACCATAAACACAAGTCATCTATGCTATCAGTACTTCTTTTGTTTCACTTTTGGTATGTTTGGTTATATATATAATGTGTTTTTTGTCAACATCTTTTGAATGCTCGTTACATTGTATATCTGTTAGTTCAAAATTTTGTCAACAGAACTTTTAAACCATATTTGCATATCCAAAGTTTAGGAGCATCTTCTGCCATACACATTACAAACCTTTTTCACTGTTTGTATGGTATTATATTCTTTCTGAAATTTGTAAAGAGTAGCATGTCAGATATGCTTTTTATCTCAAGACATTTTGACTCTATTTTATTGATGAGACTATGTCTTGTCTCTAAAAATGTGTTGCTGTCAATGGCTGTACACATACACCTTAGAGGTATGAAAGAGTACATGTCAGGAGTAATTTGGCACAGAGTATTTGGTACCCAAATAATCTGCACATAAAATAAACCAGACTTGTAGGTAGTCAGGGGACTGAGAACTGGGTCAAAAGAAGATACAAAATGCTGAGACTGTTTCTACAAACAGGTGCGAGTGCAAGATTTGCACATGCATTGCTCGTGCTCTCCAAGTCAGTCTCATACCAAAAATGGATTTGCCATTTTACTTGTTCAAACAAAATATGAAGTATAACAAAGAATACAATATACAGTTTAAGACTAAACAATAATGAGTCTCTTGATGTCCTTTCTCACACCTCAGAAAATAACAGTCTTACAACAGAGTTGACATTTTTTCAGAGTAATTATTAGGGTATATAATTTTAACATTAAATAATGTGAATTTGCAGTTTTAAGTTATCAAGATAGGTGTTGTTCAGGGTCGGGAATGTTTATCTGAGCAAAAACCTAAACATCGATTTTCTTAAAAACTAATTGTACTGTATATATATATTTTTTGAAAAGATATGCTACATTGATCATGAAATACACAACTGATTTCATTTTAGAAATCTCTAAGGGTAATAGAGCATTTTGAAACCAACTGAATAAAGTGGTGAATAATCTGCCAAGTGTTGAATAATGTCACCATAGTGTGTCTGTAAAAAAGCAAGGTAATAGAGCAGTTAATAGCAGATAATTCACTTTCCATTATTTCTTATGGGAAAAATTGCTTCGGACTTCAAATGCCCTTCTGAAATGAATTAAGTTTGAGGTACGAGGCACCACTGTAATTAATTTTATTAATAAGAAAAAACCATAAAAATTTAAGATATTTTGTTTACAGTAATACCCCGAACTTACGCGATAGGTGGGACCGAGCGATAATCGTGTAAGTCAGGGTATAATTTCGCAATTTGTGTAAAATCCAAGTTGGAGGTATGTAAGCTAATAAATGTTCTCGTTAATCTTATCTCATCTTTTGATTTATTCACAGTTACAAGAAATCACCACGTAGAGTCTCTCAAGTCTCCGTAGATATAAAATACACAGAAATAAATAACACAAAATAAATTGTAGCTATGCGTCAATTCCGTGCGACACGTCCGAACATGTAAGCTAAACAATAGTGTGGGGGAGTGAGTAATCAAGAGTTGCCTGGCGCTCAAACAAAAGACAATTCGATGAGATTTGAAAATTGCGTAACTCTGGGTTCGCGTAAGTTGAGGTATTACTGTATTTACTTGCTTGAACAAACGTTTTCATAGCTCTATCAAGAACTGCTTCAGGTTCAAAATGTTCTAATATTGGAATGCCCAGAGTTCAAATATTAACTGTCACTTAGTTTCACCGTTTGAATTATTTGATGCAAATTAATTTGGCTATTTATATTCTACTCCGTTATATAGGTCCACCTTCTGCATATTAATATTTTATCGCAGAATTCTATGAATAAGATGTCAGTATTGTTGAGGATCCTTCTGATACGTATATTGCCATGCATATGATATAGTGTTGTTGTCTTTATAGTTTATACAGTTCCCCACTCTACTTGCTTTGTATATTTCTAATTTTTCCAATTTCCTTATATGGCCAGTTTGGAATGATTTCTTTATAAGGGTAGCATTCTCTAGGTCTGCATGTATATCCTGATCTGACGCATATGTTGCCAGTGCTGCCATGTTGTTACCTCTGTCTAAATATTTATGTAATTTATCTGTTTATTGACACTTACCGTTTTATTTTCAATTACATTAATTAATTATCTATTAATTGTCATCAATTTATAATTTTTTCGCATCTTTCACGAAATAAAAACCATTGAAAATACAATATTTCGTAGTTAAAATTTAAATCTTTTATTCAATGGAGGAATACAATTTAACATTTTTTCTTAATTACAGTACTTAATAGTGAATATTTTCATTACCTAATTACATAAATTTATAATAAATAATTTGCATAAAAAGTATAATTTATTTTTTAGGTGAAATCCAAGACAGTACAAGTTGTAGAGAAGTCTGGTCCTGTGATAGTGAAGGAGATAGTTCATCATCACAGTCAAGTTCGTTTGAATCGACTTTGGATAGCTCTGATGACAACAGCAGCAGTAGTGTTGAAGAAAGGTAAATAAATAAAGAATATATTATGAATTAAATTTATAATTTTAAGACATTATTTCATTTCACTTTACTTTTTTCCAAATATATTGAAGAATTGCAATATGTTTATATAAACTGATGTGGCTACACGCCATATTTTAAACTGTATATATATATATATCTTCACTTCACCTTCGTCTGTCCTATTTGTTTACTCTTCTATAATCTTATCGTCTTCCCATTAACTTTAGTGTGTGGGTGAACTGAGATGAAAGGAACGAATGGGAGGCTTTTGAGAGGGGACATGAGTGGACTAAGGTGAGGGGAGGAACGAGGGGGGGTTAAGAAGGGGGAGAATGAAGGGAGTGAGTGGAGAGGAAAAACGAGGGCAGATTGGAAGTGAAGGCAGAAGGGAAAGGACGGGAGATGGAGAGGAAGGAAGTGGATAGGGGAGATCGTAAGGAAAGCCTCCCCTGTAAGTTGGACATTGTATGGTGAGATGAGAAATAGAGAACTTTAGAACAAGAGGAAGAAAAAGGAACTTAAATGAGAGGAACCAGATGGATCGCCCCTTTTGGATTAATATCTCAGTGTGAAACAAGAATTGAGTGAATCAGCCCCTTTCCCCCCAGACCGACGAGAAGCCTCATCCATGATCCCACACAATTCAACCTGCATCATCAAGTTTTGGGTACCCTCTTTCCTTATTCTTTTCTTTTACCTTCTAAATCTTCGAATAAGCCGGCTACGTTCGATTAGTTTAAGTAGTACAGTAGTAGGAACCTAGTATTAAGTAAGATAACTTTAGTTAATCGGATGTTCGGTTCGGAAAAAGGGACAACTAGAATTGTTGGTATCCTATGAAATCCTGTATTTGAACTAGCGAGTTAATAAATAATTGTGTTTTATGTTATCTAATCTGGGTTGTGTGCCTTTATATAACTCGCAGAAATCACACTGAATACAATAGACTGCTGCAGTCTGAGATAAGTTTTCTTTCAGGAGTTTAAATAACTAATTTTATTTATCCAATTAAAACAATTTAAGCTTTTCAATTTAATTAATGAATTTTTGTGAAAATAAGCTAACTTTATTTTGAAAATACTTTATTGATCAGATTCAAAAACAATCAAAATTTTTAATACTATAGTCTTACTATTTTCATATTATGGCATGAAGATTTTGAATCTGAATATCATATTTTTATGTAGTCATTTTAATTAACAGCTGATATAGAACTAATAAGATTATAGATTAATGTTTATAAATATAATACATTGATTAATAATATAATTTTTACAATATATAAATATTCAACAAACGTTTTAAGATCTCTGACATTACTGATTTATTGCTTGTTTTTTCTTAATGGAGAAAAACCTAGAAACAATGTCTGTTTCAGCACAAATTCTGATTAGATTTTTATTTATCTTTCCAATGGAATTGATAAACTTACATATGTAAAGTATTGTATGTACCTTTAGCAAAAGGATGAAGGAACATAGAGAGGCCTTTTCTTTGTCAAGAAAGAGTAAAATTATTACAGCACTGATGATTGTTCACAAATAAAAATGTTAAAGTTAAATGGAAACAAGTAGAAATTGTGATATCTATTACACCTTAAAGTATCTTTTGTGGTTTGCAGAAAAACTGGTTACTATAGTCAATCCTGATAAGTTGTTGAATAAGAGAGGAAATATGTTGTATGTTTATAGTACTAAAATATAAAAACATTTTAAATGAAAGTGGTATTGTATATTTGAAATTTTTTATACAACATATCTTAGTGTCAGAGATATTGTACACCTCTTTTCTGTTTAATTTTTTATTTTACTTAGTTTTTAGTTTATTTCTGTTTTTTGTTTCCATTACTGTTCATAATTTTTAAAGTACATATTTAGAATTTGATTTTAAATATTAAAAAATAATNAAAATAATTTTATTATTAACATTAAAATTATTTTATATTTAATTTTTTTCAAAATTTGTAATCTTTTAAACAGAATTTCATCAGAAGTTATTTCTCAAGTATGAAGAGAGAATTGTTAGACCTGTGGGCCAATTACCTGCCTTAACCAATCATGTAATGTGAATCAACTTTAATTCAAGATTTAAAATTAAAATCTGCATATAATCCATCTCATCACACAACCCAAATCTCCTTTCAAATACAGGCAATCTGCAGGTTATCCATAGAAACTGTAGTATATTGTTTATGAAACTTATATTTATGCAGTCTTCTTTATTTTTTAAAAATAACAATTGGTCTGATGATGAATCATCTTTCAACAATTTAACCTAATAATTTTTCAAAAGTCCTTATTTAATTTATTCATAAATGATTTAAATTGAAGTTTTGGGATTACAACTGTAGTAGATTCTCAATAAGTTAAACTTTCTTACCTTGAAATTTTCACTAACTAGAACTTTTTGTCTCAACTTCACTTCCAGAGACTCAATGCATTCCGTGTTTCTGTTGGTTTTGAGATCAAATTTTGTTAAATTGAAATTTAAGATGCAGCAAGTTTATTTTACCTCTGATTTTTTATTCTGTCTTTTGTTTACAAGGGGATTGATGATGATATCACAAAGTTGAAGATTGCTATTGTATAGAATTATGCTTCTGATTGCATGACATAAAATTCAAGATTTTAATGTTCTGTACCTAAAGTAATGTTCTGTATCTTATTCTTAAATGCAAAATGACCAATGAAATTTTAGCACTTTAAAATTATCATTTTTCAAATTTTTAGATTTTGATAATTTAAAAAATGTGCTTGTTATATTTTGAGATCATTACAACTGTGATTTGACAACATTTGGGCAATCAAATTTATGAGTTGATCTATATGTATCTCCTTACATGGAACTAAACACCTGTAATATATAAATTTCACTGTAATTTGAATCACATGTTGACATTTTCATTATCAATAGTGGCTAGTTAAGAAATGACAAACAACAGGAAACTAAAGATTCTGTGGATAGTAGAAAGGATATCTGTGATAAAGGCAATGGAGGAAAGCAAAAAGAAAATATTAGAAACTGTGAAAGAATTTGATATTGCATTGCATCTACACATCTGAAAAACAAGACTTTTGGTAAGCTTCAATGAAAAACAGAATCAGACAGAACAGAAAAGAAAGCATAAATGTGAATATCCAGATGCTGAAAAATGTACACTGACGTGGTTTGTACAGTGTAGAGACTGGAATATTCTTGTTGATGGAAAAGGAAAAAGCTGAACAATTCAGAAACAGGACATAAAATTCAAAACAAGCAGTGGGTAGCTGAATAAATTTAAGGAGAGGAATGAAATAGTTTTTAATAAATTTTGTGATGAAAATGAAAATAGGATGTGGTCTTCAGATTTTAAAAAAGTTTTACAAAATAGAAATAAAGTAAGTGCTAAAATAAGACAAACGTGTAGCTAATTATTTTAAAATAAAAATTTGTTGTATGTAGAACAATTTTTATTTTATGTAAAATAAAAATCATAAAAATCATTCTTAAAATAATTTTATTTTATTCAGAATTTATGTTCTAAAAATGTAGCTTTTGATGAAGATTTTTCTGTGAATTGGGTTAAAAATTTATTATTATAGTTCTTTAATTGCTTTATAGTCATCATTATTATGCATATTTTATAATGATGATTGTAGACTTTTGTGGATTTATGTTGAATAATACATAATTAACAATTTCAGTAAGAACATTGTAACAAAAAGTGGACCAAAAAAGAATTTTCATCAAATAAGAACAAAGGATGAATTAGGTCTTGAGGTCAGTGATTATTTTACTTAACTTTTCTAGAAAATTTTTGTTAAAATTCAAGAATCTAATTACAGGAAATCCTCATTAATCTGAAATTCAAGGGACAAAATAATTGCAACTTTGAATTATCTGAGATTTACATATTTCTGTACAGAATACCAAATGCTCTGTAACTGATGTAATTAAGCAAATGGAGTATGGCTACTTATACAGAATTATTAATCATTAATTATTGTTATTTTCATTAATTAATAATAAATAATAATAATAACAATATAAATAAACTGCATATAAACAGCATGTGTCTGGTAAGAACCTCACATGTTGCCAGATAGGTTTTATAAAATGTAAAGAGAATTCTTTTAAATATAGCTGAAATTATTTAAAATTTTAAAGTGGCCTAAAAAGTAAAAAGTTGCCCAAATATAGTAATCTATAGCCTTACAAATATCTCAGTCTGCTACTCTGCAAATTTTTCAATCCTGAAAACCAGCCGTATTTTATGAAATAAGAGAAAAAAATGGTAATCCACGTGTGTGATGACATCCAAAACTGTTTTACTATTAAAGCCATTATTATAGCAAAGCCATATTAATCAGATTAAAGTTATTCTTTGTCTATTGTTCTCTTATAGCAGGGAGGCACTTCAATTTAATCAAACAAATTAATGTATGCATATCACAATTTGGATGGAATTTTCACATCAAATTTTGAAGTACCCATATTTCAAACTAACCATATTCCTTAATTAATGTGTAAATCTCTATATCCCCAGCTGGGACGAATAGTACAGTTACAAACTAACGGGATTTTGAACTATCCAAGTTCAGATTAACGAAGATTTCCTGTAATTTTTTATGATAGTATGAAAACCAGGATTTGAAGATATTTTAATAGAATTTTTTTCATTTTATCAAGCATATTTATATAAAAAACATTAGCCAAAAAAAAAAGGTGTGATTTATTTAGATACAGTCGACCCCCCTATAATTACGGTCCCTATAGTTACGATTCCTATAAAACTACGAAAAAATTGCTACCGGTATCCGTAAAAAATAGTAAAAGTTCCCTATAAACACCTCAAACGTCATTGGGAAGCCGAACTACTTTCCCGCCGTCCGTAGCGCCACGCTACGGAGAGATTTCTATCGTCTGGACAGTATTATATAAATTATATATAAATTAGGTACTGTACATATAATTATATATTAACTTATTGTAACTTTGTTATAATTAAATATATAATTTCCGCCGTCTAGCGTGGCGCCACGCTACGGAGATTTTTACGCTAACTATCGTCTGTCAGTATGTAAATTAGGTACCGTAAGTCTAATACAGTACTGTAATTTTATACATTTCTTGTGAAAGAAACATTTCTTATTCAACGGCGATTAAAATTATTTATATTAATGATGTCTCCGAAGTTCTACGAAGTTTTCACAGAAAAATAAGTTGTTAGAAATCGGCCGCTCTTTGCTGAGCTGTTCCGCGACGAAAACAATGTTGAGCAATGGCAATGTCGAATGGTGACACTCGGTAAGTAATCCTACAATTTTTTGTTTATAGCGTAGTTTATACGGATTATTCCCAAAAAATATATACGTATTTTGGAAATGTTGAGTCGGATTAGTCTAGAATCGATTAATTTTATGGAAGAAAATCTTTCAAACAGCCGTAGTCCGTAAACTTTACAAGTGTCGGGCTGTGATTGGAAGGATTCGTAAGAAAGCAGATTCCTAGAGAATGGAACGTATCTCTATCTTATAGGGGGGTCGACTGTAACTTCAAAGTTTGACAAAATATTTTTGTCATTTTGTTCAAAATAACTCCAATAAAAAGACAGTATAAAATAAATGAATTAGAAACCTCTCATCATTTGTTTACATTCAACATTATTTTGTATTGAGATATTCCAATTTCAAAATTCAAAGATGTATTATAAAGTGTAATATTAATCATATAAATCAAAAACAATCTAATATGAAGATGAAATTCTAAGAGTAAATATATTTTTGAAACATGTTATTTTGGTAATTTTAGAATTAAGTTAGTAATGTTAAATATTGAAATATAACTTTTAATTTTATTTTATTCAGAATTTATGTTCTAAAAATGTAGCTTTTGATGAAGATTTTTCTGTGAATTGGGTTAAAAATTTATTATTATAGTTCTTTAATTGCNAATTTCAAAATTCAAAGATGTATTATAAAGTGTAATATTAATCATATAAATCAAAAACAATCTAATATGAAGATGAAATTCTAAGAGTAAATATATTTTTGAAACATGTTATTTTGGTAATTTTAGAATTAAGTTAGTAATGTTAAATATTGAAATATAACTTTTAATTTTATTTTTAGAGTAAGAATTTTGTTCTGTAATAATTCATTACAGAATAAAATTTATATTCTTAATAAACCAGCAATGAACTGCTCAACTTTCCCAGTAACATTTAAAATGTTGGTGGCACCATCTATAATTAAAAATTTAAAAAGATTTTTTAATAAAATATTATAAAATGGCAAAAAGTTTAATTTTGAGGATAGGGATGGGTTTTATAAAAAATTGTAAATGCTAATAACAAGTAAAATCATTATTAAGTCTGGTCCTACTGGAGATACACATGATCTCTATTATCTCCCCACCCCTTTAATTTTTAATCACCAAAATTTAATAGCATCAATTCCCCTAATAAACAAACCTCCCTGCTAAATTTAGAAATTTTCAACAAAAACCACAGGAGTTATTAAGCTTTGAAGAGGGTGAACAAAATCATGCCCCCACACACACACACTAACATCTACACATATAGGAATTACCCCTGATTTATTTGCATTTATCAATATTTCAAGATGTCCTAAGTCCAAAAGTGTAAAAATCTTGAGGTGTCATTTTTTGACTGATTGCTATACTTTCCCTCTGTCTGTTATATATAACGGCTGGGAAAGTAAAAACAGTTGGCATTTTTCAATTAAATTGATATTTACATTAAAATATGATTAGCATTACATAGTATTAGCATTTTAAAAATGCCCCAATATATATATATATATATCTATATATATATTGGGGCATTTTTATATGTGTGTGTGTGTGTGTGTGTGTGATCCATTCCTGCTGATACTCGGAGGGTGTACAGGTCGACATGGTGAAAAAATCAAACTTTTATTCTACCATCCACTACTTTTTCCAAACTCTCCTATCAACAGACAAGTCAAACAAGTTTTTAGCCTGGATTTATATATATATATAATAAACATACAATACATTAATACATACATACGTATACTGTATATAAAACAGTGCTAAGCCCAAATTTTAATAAAATATCTGTATGCCCTATTTTTTTCTAGAATTTAATAATGAAGTATTTTGAACTAAATGTAGGCAGATCCATTTTGTTCTAATATTAATATAATAAATATATAAGTTATTAATTTAAAATATTCTGGAAGAAAAGATCAGCATGATTTAAGCTTTGTTCTGGGTTGATCAGTTTCCCCAGAATATTCTAAAATGTATTTACACATATTATTATTTTTGGGTTTATAAATATTGTTTATAGTGAATTGGTTGAAGTTATTTTTTTATGATTTTTATAGTATTTATAGTGTTAAGTTTTTGCTATTTTAATGATGGGATATTTTGTTATATAAAAAGAATAGAATCTGTAATAATTGTAAAGTAAATATAAAAAAGTATTTTGGTAAATATTTTATCAACATATTCTCCAGCAGGAAGTTAAATATTGTATTTAACTTCTGTCTTTAGAAAATAATGTTATAATCATATATAACAATATTCATATTTGGTTATTAAGTTCCAGAAAAAATTGAGCTTTTATTCTGAGTAATATGGGCCATTTTATGTTGTGTGAATTGTTGTTGTTAATTTATATATAATGATTACTCTTTACAATAGAATGCATTAGTATTGATTATTGACATCTTTTTTGAAATATGAATCAGTTGAATATTAATTATGCAGCAGTTATGTGTGAATATGCATAACTGCTGTATATTCACACCTCTTTGTAGAGAAAAATGCACTTATCAGTCCTTATCTTTTGAGGGCCACATGTTGTTGAGCTACATCCTAGCTAGAAATTGCGAAGTAAAGTTGGGTGTGTCATTCAGGGTCACATGCTGCAGTTATTGCATTCTCTGAATTGCATAAGGATACCAGTTTAGGATGATCTGTAGAATTTTATGGACAGTTGATCATGGAATACCTATGGGTATCTCTGATTGCAATTGGGTTTCTGCAACTGTAAATGTGGCATTATCTACATTTCTTTCTTTAATATGTCACCTGCTTCTATCTAGAGTCACGTCCAACTTCCCTGTTTCTACAAATTTCTATATCTTATTCTTCAGTTCATTTAGTGACAAAGATCCTATCCTTAAATCTTTCAAATGACAATATTTGTATAATGCAATGGTGGCATTACTATTATCTTGGTAGAGTTTCACTAGTAGAGCTCAGTCCTTCTTATCCATGGTTTCTTCTACTAATTATATAGAAGACCTCACACTTTATAGTAATCCTCATGTGACTCACACATGTAATTGACTGCAATGTCACATGAAATTAGCATGTTGTAACATGTTTTAGAAAACCAATGCTATCTGGTGGCATGACAACTAACCAATTTTTTTATACACAAATTCTCTTCCCCATGTTCTGATTGTAACCACCAGTTTTTATTATGCTGTCAAGTAGATTCTTCTCTACATCACTCTAACTATTACCAGTTGAATTATAGTCACCTTGTATATAATATTAATATGATATCAACAATTTTGTGTTGTAAGATGAGATGGTTTACCTATTGATAGGCTATAAGTAGCTACCAATAGATAGATCATCTCTTAATGATAGGTAAAATGAAAAAATATTTTTCTTTATTTAGCAGTTTATAGTAAGTTAAAATAGTTTAAAGTAAAAGATAATATATTTTTTATGTAGTTTTTTTGATAAATTAATGAAATATACAAGCAATTCAACAATTAAAATTTTTTTTATAATATAGGATTTGCCTCCAGTTGAGGAACTTCATATATCTGTTGAGGAAGAAGAATTACAAGAAATTGGTCAAATACTTAGCATAGTTGAAGAATTAGGTAGACATGTTTTTTATTGATTGTTATATCACATTTATTCTCATTTAATAAGAAAATTCTTTTAAAATTCAGAATTTTAGCATGCTATAAGAACAATATGTATTCAATAAATTAAAATTCTAGTGTGAATTTGTTAAATTTACATCAGTGAATTTAATGTATAGAAGATAACAGTTTCTAATCAGTTTTCTATAAAGTATGGAAAAATTATACCTAAATTTTGTATGGATAAACTTTCAAATTACATTTTAAACACCCAAAACTTGAAGATTATCTATGTTTAAAATGCAACTTAAAAGGGTATGTGGGCTATTCATTAGGACACATTATATTCCAATTTTAAAGTGCAATTACAAACTCACCAAACAGCATTTTCTTCATCTAAAGTAACTAAGGATGTCTTTAGAAAATTGAATAATCCTTTGTATGCTTCACACATGTTATTGTCATTGTAATTTTTCCTGAAGCCATCAAAGATACCTATACTCATACTTCATCTAGTTCTCTCCATTCATTTTATGGGCATTAAATCCATGCTTTAATTGACATTAAACATACTTATTTCAATGTGTTTCATGAAAATTGATAAAAAGCTGATTTTTGTAATCATTCCCTATCTTTATAACAACATACATCATTTCAAAGAACTGTGATAGTTAAACACATTACACAATAATTCTCATTTTAACAAGCTATAAACACATTTCTTGTTTCATTGTTATAAAGTAAATTTTGATTACTAAAAGTAATTATATACATTTAAAATAATAATTGTTCCATGTTTTGTTTTTGCACAACCAAATTACTTTTTACCATTTTTTAAACAAAATTGAAACTATTATGTAATTACAATTTTTGTTTATTTTTTTCATTTATCAAATTGCAGGGTAGAAATTTGTTCTATATTAACATAACATTCTTAGCAAATATTTTAGATATTATAACTTTTAAGTTATAAACCAATAGTAGAATAAATTTTTGTGTAACTTTTTCTATTTGTAATTAGATGATCCAAACAGAATTTCAGTATTCTGTTGGATGGTCTAACCATTACAATCAGTCATTTATTATTATTTAAGAAAGATCATCTTTCATTTGAATGAGAAGTTATTAAGGGACAAAGTTTTTTCATTTCTGTTTAATTATTATTATTTGATAAATAAAATAATTGAAGTAATAAATAAAATAGAATAATTGAATATCAACAGTTCACGGGATAAAAACATTTTGTCATTTTTTAGATATTTGTATATTCCACACATGAAGTTTAGAAAGTTCCTTCTCACTATTCCCTTTTTTGTTTCACCTATTTTATAATTATATATACAACAAAGTGTATGAGAAAAACAACATTGTTATCTGAAATGTCTTGCTTTCAATAGCTGCTGCTGAGGCATGGTATGGTGGAAATGAGTTATTCAAAGATTTTATTTCTGTTCTAATGTTTTGTTCTCTGGCATGTACTGTACATCTTTATGGTTTATCCATTCAAAATTATGGTACAAACTTAATTTTATCTTTATACATCATGATAATGAGATATTTAAAAAATTTGTAATATTTTTGAATAATAATTTAAAACGGTAATAAATTAAAAAATATGATTTATATTTTATAATGGAGACATTTTTATAATTCTTGTTTGATTGAAACAAATATATATTTTTATAGTAATCATTCAGTCACATAAAGACCATTCAGCATTAGATTTAGATTCCATTTTGTTTTTAAAAGGAGATAAACCATTGGGTCAGGTAAATGTTATTCACAAGTATTACAATTTCATTATTGCATTTGAAATAATTGAGTTTACTTTAAAAAATGTTTGTTTTTAGATATTTGATGTTTTTGGGCCTGTAATTCAGCCTTCATATGCTGTAAGATTTAATTCAAATCAAGAAATAATTGAAAAGGGTATAGAAAAAGGAATGCCAGTTTACTGTGCTCCTTCACAGGAAAATATTACAAAATATGTTTTTACAGAGGAATTAAAAAAGTAAATATTTCATTGTTTGAAATATTGTCTTTAAAAATTTAAAAAGTTTCTTTAAAATTATAATATGTGATAGATTCTCAAATTATATGAGGGTTGTGTTTTAAGTAAGCCACACGTTTTAATTGTTTTGTTCAAGTAATTTTGAATTGTGAATATATTTTGAACAATGTGTACTTATTTTATTTATTTTATGATTTTAAAATTGTGTATTTTAAACACACAAAGTACTTTGAGAATGCTATTTTAATATGCATATTAATATTAAATGAATTTTTTTAGATTGAAAGGTTCAGATGCCTCATGGGAAAATAATAATGAACCTCCAGAACAAGTAAGAAACTTTATTACAGTATTTACTTTTAATATATATATATATATATATATATATATAATGTGTGTGTGTGTGTGTGTAGAACTTGGTGTGCAAAAGTCCTTCAGCACCTTATGTAAACACATATCACATATTTTTGCATTTTGAACCCATTTTGAAAAATAATGCCAATTCCAAACGTAATAAATAATACATTGTTTTGAGGAGAATTTTGTAAAAACTTCTCTTTCAAAACTTTTGATAAAATTAATACATCAGCATCATTATACATGTTGTCTGTGAGAAGACAGAAAGAAACTGCAAAGCTAACATTTTATTTCTTGTAAACTACAAGAAACTGTCAGGAGAAAGAAAAAATACAAAACCAAAACTTGTTAAAGCTTTTACATTTAATAATGAATATTAGATATGTTTGAAGATGTACAGATAATTAATTTTTAATTGGGAAGCTGTTATATTTAATTACTAAGATACATTATCTGGATATACTGTTAACAAGCTTTTCAAGCTCATCCTGATGTGACATAATATAAAGTTTATGAGGTTATTTATATATGTTGTATATTTGTATGAAAAGTACATTTAATCTGTGACTTACATCAAAAAGTAATTTAAAAATTTTTTACAGTTCATTGAATATTCAGATGATGAGAAAGAACGATTGGCTAAACAAAAAAATAAGAAGAAACCTGCTAAAAATGCACCAATAAATAAATTTTTTCTAGGTGAGTATATATTTAGCATGTTAATTTAATTTTAAAAAATTTTTAAAAACTATTACTGATATTAATACTTACCCTGCTAGTCCTTGGACACAGTTTCTTTCCTGTGTACTTGCTGATTTTCACTGTTTTCTATACTAATATATAAAGAAGTAATGTTTGTATGTATGTAAGTTTCGTTGCAGCAGGTAATCTCCGAAACTACTCATCCAATTTCAAAAATTCTTTCACCAATATTTAAAATGGAACCTCAGGGTGGACATAGGCTGTATATTATTCCGTTAAACATTCATATAAATTAAAATATATAATCTAGGTTAAGGCTTTTATGTCCAACAGATGGCGCTACGAGTACGACGCCCTAAGTTTGCTTTTCTGCGAGGCATTACGCTTTTCTGTGAAAATGAACTAAAGTGGATCATCTTCTATCTATTTATATAAATAAAAATGTAATGTTCGTTTGTTCCTACCGATTCCTTTGAAATTTTGACACAACGCTGCATTCGAATACGCACGTGTTTTTATATAATATACGTGTCGAAATTCCCCCCACTGAAGGGAGATGGTTAGGATTAAGGCTTACCGTAAAGAACTCTGCTTCTATTTATACTATTTTAGATGCGGTTTTTTGCGTTTTTGATTGCGTTTTAATAGGGTACGTCAACAGAATGTACACTAAGAAGGAATTTTTCGATATTCCCCCACGGGGAGAGGGACAGAATTAAGGCTTACCGTGAAGAACTTGACTTCTATTATATTATTTTGGATGCGGGTTTTTGCGTTTTTGATTGTGTTTTAATAGGGTACGTCAAGAGAATGTACACTAAGAAGAAATTTTTCATAAAATTCCTCCCCCCACAGCGGAAGTGTTATACATTTATAATAGATACATTTTGAGCCACAACAACGCGTGGCGGGGTCTGCTAGTACAGTATATTTTACTGAGCATTTTAAAAAATCATTTGATTTTTGGGACATTAAGTAATATTTCTGTCAGTTTTGAGAACTGTGGGCTTTAATTTTTATGGATTTTGTTTAATCTTACTTGTGCATGTTTACAGAGAGAGAGAAAATGAAAAATTGATTATCCACAATCATTGAATACTAGAGAATTGGGAATAAGCAGTTTTGTTGAGTCCGCATAAGTCATCATAGGTATAACTAGACACCATCAGTTAAGTAGTCAGTTTTCTGTGGTCCTGGCCGACTTACATAGGCATTAATGTTAAAAAAAACTCTGGTTTACTTGACACCATTTAACTCAGTGTTTCTCAACAGGGGCAATATCACCCCCATGTGGGCATTTTTCCACGTTGAGGGGGTGATTAGTAACAATTTATATTTTGGGGGCGAAAAACAATTTTCTGGGCAATATAGTAAAACATTATATTAAGGATAATTAGATATTTTATTTGTTATATCATACAATAATTAAACAAATAACATTATACTAGTCACTAGTCTATTCAATACAGTACATATTTGGTGTTAGCCTTGGCCCTGGGCATTGGAATTTTGAAGTGAAGGGAGCGATACTACGTAATGGTTTTATTGAAGCTGGGCGACAATTTGTTAGAGGTTGAGAAACACTGTTTTAATTCATTACCACTGGATAAATCAACATACTTTTGCTGTCCCATACTCATTTAGACATCTGATAAGTTGACTCCCATCCTGAAAAAAAAATGAGTTTACACCACACAGCTTACTGTGCAGTGTGAACTCGTTTTTTTCAGGAGGGGAGTCGACTTATTAATATATACATATTAATAAAAATGCTTTAACATTTTATGTATTTTTATATATAAAATAATAACAGATAAACAAAAAGAAAATGCACAATCTATATCAATGTCACAGCAGAATCCGATTTTACATTTTCTCATGTCATGCATTATTTGTAGCACATGTTTCACATTTCTGTTAGAAATGAGTGTCCAAAAGCTAACAATGCTTACACTGAAGGAAAAATACGAACTTGTACCTGAATTTGAATGTAAGAAAACTTCGTAAGCCAAATTTGCAAAACAAAAAAACCTTCCAAGAACAACATTGGTGGGAATCCTGAAAAAAAAAAGAGGAAATTAAGAAATTTTTTCTTGGATTGTTGTCGCAGCTGTCTTGAAAATGCCAGAGAAAGTAACCATACAAAGATGTCTAAGATGTTCTTACATGTTGGCTAAAGCAAGTTAGTTCATCGAAACTTCCTGTTTCAGGACTGATACTGAAACAAAAGGTGATTGAAATTGCTGGGGTACTTGGAATAGAAACCAACTTTAGCACCAGTGATGGATGGTTAGAGAGATTTAAAGGTCGCCATGGTGTAACTTTTAAAAAGCTGGGCAGAGAAAAAGAATCTGTCGATTTTTTTTTTGACCTCAGATGGAACTTGGAAAGAGACAGTTTTACAAGAGATTGAGAAATCGTATATACCGAAAAATGTTTTCAATCTTGATGAAACTGGACTTTTCAACAAATTGCTTCCAGAGAAAACCATTATGTTTAAAAATGAGAGTTGCCACGGCAGAAGCAAATCAAAGTTGCAAGTTACAATCCTTCTTGGGGCAAATTCTGATGGCTCTGAAAAGCTGAAGTCCTTAGTTATAGGAAAATCTCTACAACCCTGATGTTTCAAGGGAGTGAAGAGTTTGCCCACCATATAAAAGGCAAATTCGAAAAATTAGATGACTTCCAAAATTTGGGAGGAAATTCTTCACAAATACGACTCCCAATTTGTTCAGCAAAAAATAAACATAGCATTCATTGTTGACAACTGTCCTGTTTATGGAAAAGTTGAAGGACTACAAGTGATTAATGTGTTTACCCTACTGTCAAATGCCACTGCTGTAGTGCAACCATTAGATTAGGGTATTATTCATTCGTTCAAACATCATTATCAAAAGAAGCTTATTTTGGATTTGATTCATGTGGTAGAAAGCGGAAATTTGATCGACATTTCCCTGTTAGATGCAATTCATTATGTGAAGGTTGCGTGGGAAAACGTAACATGCTTAACCATTGCAAACAGCTTTAAACATGTAGGATTTCGTTCTACAGTGGCAGTTTGAGATGAAGATAAGAGTGAAAAACAGAATGTTCAATCTACGAGAAACTGCCTCTGTTGGTGAAATCGACTACAGCACAGTGGACAATTGCGTGGAGATGTGTTATTCAGCAAGTGTTGTTGATATTGTTGCAGAAACTCAGGACGAGAATAATGAATCTGGAGGTGAAGAGAATGAAATATTAGAACACTTGGTGCCTGAGCTCAATTTTTTGTCAGACCTTTCTTAAATTCACAAAACAACCCCCAAAACCAACCAAAACTGATGTGCTAGGGGCATTAAGAATCCTTAGACGTTACTTGCCAACAATTGACAATTACAAAGATGATGTTTTCAAGACATTCATGATTGTTGAAAAGAAAGTCGAGACCTGTAATTGCATTGCAGTTGTATCTGAGGTTATTGATTTTTAAATTCTGTATAATGTTACTTTGCTACTTAATTTAAAAATGAAGTATGAACATCCATATGTAGATGTTTGCCAACTAAATACTAGTTTGTAGTGTTGAATAGATTTCAACACAGTTTTTCTTTAACAAATAAAATGAAAATTTTATCTGGATTATTTTTTGTAAATTCAATATGATACAGAGAAAAGTATAATTTTTACTTAGTTTTTTATATCTATAGTTTTAACATCAAGGATCTTCTTTCTCTGTACAAAGTCTGGCAATTTGACAAAGATTTTTTCAATCTGGGAAATTGTCTATACTATTATAAATTTATTCAAGGTTTGTTTGAATTTTTTCCTAAAACATGGCTTGAGTCAGATCTTGGCAAATTAGACAATTACAATTGCCTAGGCCTTGATCCAAAAGCCACCCATATATCAATTTGTAGATTTTTATTTCTTTATATTTGAATTTAGATAAGTGAACAAAGTGAATATTTTCTAAACCAATGAGTTTTCAGGCTTTCATTTGTTAACAATAGCTGTAGAGTAGAAGCAGTTGGAAAATTAATGGATTGTAACTGAATCAGAGTAAAATAAATGTGAAAATTATGATGAGTTAATTTTTCATTCTTTGTTCGTTATTGTATAATTTGAATTTCAAAACATTTTTGATTATATGCTTATTCTTTTCTCTCTAATTTAAAATTTATGTTTATTTTCATTTTATTTTAAAAACGTTATCAAAATTTCATCAAATTCTTTGTAATAATTTTTCATTATTTTTGTTCTAGATAAACAAGCTGTCCCAGAACGTACACATTGGCCTCCACGTTTTCCGTCTGGTTGTCCGTCAAGATCACCAGTTCCTCCACCTTTACCACCATTTGCATTTAGACCGCCAAGTGGTGGACATACATTTGGTGCCCCAGCTCAATTTTCTGTCAGACCTTTCTTAAATTCACAAAACAACATGCATCCTTTTCCTTCACAACCACCAGTTTCTACTTCGTTTGGATATTTAAACAATATAAATAATCAAAACTTTTCAACTTCTGCTCCGCCACCACCACCACCTCCTCTACCACCACCACCACCACCACCACCTCCTCCACCTCCTTCCATGTTTCCTAATAATGCAACTCAATCTCCTCCTGTATTTCCCAATACAGCTGTTCCACCTCCGATATTTTCTAGTACAGCTCCACCACCACCTCTAATACCTACTTCTATTCCTCCACCTATGTTTCCTGTAAATCAGTCACCCATAAATTCTAACAATAACAGTATTCCACCTCGGTTTTTTGCTCCCTCATTTTCATGCGATAATAGATTGCCACCCTTCTCTTCCAGTTCCAATTCGTCTTTGAGGCCTCCCTTTCCTTCTCCAATTACCAGAGTGCCATCAGTTCCATTTTTTCCAAGAGGCTCGCATCCTCGGGCACCATTTCCATTTAATCCTGTTTAAGTTAAAGATGGATTTACATTGAAACAAATTGCTGGCAGATGCAAAAAACAATGTGAAAACTGCACCAAAGATGAAATAATTTCAGACATTATTCAAATATGACTTTCAAATGAGGAATTAAAACAGTTTTCATATTTTTTTTTTTGTATTTTCCAATGATCTAAATCTAATGTAAATTGATCTTAATGTAATCATATTGACAACATAACTAAACTTCAATATTTATCATAGATATTTTATTTCATTTTGAAAACTTCTTATGGCATTTTAATTCCTAATTATTGTAATAATGTTAATGATAGAAAGAAGAATATTTTAAATGCTATTTATCCAATTTAAATAATGTACATCTAAGAGATGATTCAAAGTTTCTAAAAGTAAACTGTATATAATCCATCAATTCATTATTAAATGGTGTCATTTCAAGAAGAAATGTAAAGTAAATAGTTATTAGTCAAAATAAGGTTACATGTAGATAATTTCTTCAGTTATATTAATAAATAAGAATAACTATTAATTTTATGAGCTTTCTATTCTGTTTCAGATAAATTTAATATTTCAGAACTAACTTTCAAAATCCTTCACTTTCCAGAATAATTCTTTGTATTCTCAGCATCTTTTAGTCTTAATATATTACCATCAACAGTTAAGTTTAAAGAGAAGAGTTTAGACTTCCTGCCCCTTTGAGGAATCCAGGTTTGAGTTTGATTTTGGAATCTCTAAAATTTTTTGTGAGTGGCCAGTCCCAAATGTGTTGGGCCGCCTTCACTGTAGGCTTGCCAAACCTATGATGGTTATGATAAAAGGTCTTATCAAATTATCAATGGCCATAGGACAGAAAGATTCAAAATGAAAAGAATTCTCGAGAGAATTATTTTGTAAACTAACTTAACCTTAGATTGGATAACCATAGATGAGAGGCTTACCCAAAGGACCAATGGACATTTCCAGTAAGCCTTCAAAACAACTGCTTGTATCTCTTGAATGGGGTATACTTGCAGGTCCCTCATTGATGTTGACTGCCTCTTACATCTTTGTAATATAGCAAAATTCAAAATAATGAGAGGGTATGTTGCATACATTTTCAAAATGTCAGATGTGGGTATATGTGTATCTGTTCTTGATACACATATATTGTTCTTGTACCTTATTTGATGGAAAAGCAAATCATCACTGGTCAAAAGTAACTTTTGGTAAATGGTGAAGTTTGCTAAGAGTTTGTGGATTACAACACTCTGTAACAATCGAACATATGAACGCTTTGGCCTTATTTGACAGAACTTCATGTTCAGAAACTGATAAGAATTAAAATAGATTTGATGTTTTTCACCAGCAGATGAAATTATTAAGATGGCTGATTATTAAAAATAACACGTTAATTATTTGATTTGTTTACAGAATAAATCTCGGATCCATTTTCATGCCAGTAAATTTGTGATGAGTGATATTTCACTACTAATGATTTGATTGCTGTTACTGGAAAGTCACAAGTAACACCAATGCACCAATAACAGTATTTATTATGGTAAAGGATTGACCATAAAAATATCACCTCTAGTTAAAAAAATTCAGTTACATAGAGTAACTTATCATACAGAAACACCAGGTAATTGATTACAGATATTTTTATTTAAAAAGGAAATGCAATTTGGGCAATTCACATCCTCATCATTCCCATACATATCTGATTAATTGAAACATTGAATTACGTTATGGATTACAGCATGTTTATTTACATTACACACACAAAAAAAATCAATACAATAAATTACCTGCAATGGTATATTTATATTGGTGACAACTTCACTATTAAAAGGGAGTAACAATACTAAAACTAAAAATAATCTAAATTGATTTTAAAACTCTCAAAAACACGATAAAAGGGTTAACTTATAAAACAAGCAAAAGACTGCTGATAAAATTGTATAAAGGTAAAAATTTTTAATGAAATATCAAAAAACACCAAAATATAAAAAGTTGTAAAAACTTCACTCTATGTTCATCAAGCTAATAGTTACTGGGAACAGTGTATTATTTCATTACCATTATTTACCATTCGGTGAAGGGGAGAATGGAAGTCCATCTAAAATAGACTCCCATCATTTTTGTAGTGATATTAATGAAAACAAGGAATTTGAACACAGTTGTAATTAGTGAGATCTGGCAATCATTATTACAAATCTACTGTCTTTATTATATCACATGCTTTTATCATTTTTAATATAATTTACTAATTTATTTCAGTTTTTAGTTAGCTTTTTTCCCTTCTCTCTGAATATGTAATAATTTTGTTATATTGTCCATGTTGACTTTGTTTATAAATAGGACTTATTATACTGATGTAGTTTAACAAAAGGAGGAAATCTTAGTCTTAGTCAAAAAAATAAAACAAAATATCTTTATTTTATTAGACGGCTGACATATGGAGAAACGATTATGTGTGTTTAACACCAACACTAGAGAATAGAAGGCACAAGACTAAGGAAAAGTGATTAGAGAGTTACAAGACCTACCATTAATGTGTGAGGTTTGCCGATCGGGGAGAAAGTTCGCGACAGTCGAGCGGTCAGCACTGTCATGTGGGAGTGAAAAAAAACTTACTGAGACAGGTTCTCCATCGTATACCGTTTAATAAATATAAAAATTTTTCTTACAACAAATCCTTAAAACGGCGTAACACCTATCCAAAGTCGAGCAACAAGTTCTTAACACTAAAAGTTCAACTGTTCTGGCGATAGTTTTTCTTCCAGCGATGGAGGCGTGAAGACGTTTACTCCGGGCTGCACAACACTATTTGAACCGAGGTCTTCTATCTACAAGGTGGACTTTAGCGATCTTGATGGCTCGGGAGGGTTAAGACAAGTCCTCCGAATATCTGAAAAGTTCTCATGGGAGAATGTCTGGATGACAAGAATCCTGGAGAGGAGCACTGCGAACCAAAGGCCAAGAACTATGAACCAAGAACGTCACATCCTTTTTTTGCGCGGTTTTTATAAGTTTTTTCTGGGTTCCAGATCGAACATTCCAATAGGTCGATGCCGGTCTGCCCCCATTCTCTAATTGGTCTCCCCTCCTCGTTACGAATTGTAACAGGATCGGAGCCCAGATTGCGGGGGGAGTCAACTCCGATTGACAATTTGATTCCTATCGAAGACATTCGATCTAATTACTCAAATTCATCTATTGTTTTAACCTGAGTAGTTCGACTTTCTTAGAAATTTTTACAGATATGTCTTTATATGGACATAAAATATTCATTTTGCATTTGACGGTTTCTTTTTACAATATTATAAGAATAATAATTATAATTATAATTTTTTTTTCATACGAAATTAAAACATTTTCAGTGCACGAATTTCGACCCACTTCCAGATCCTCACAAATGGATGAAGAAATTGGGACCATAATGGACTTTGTGAGCTTATATCCTTCAATAACTATAGCACCATGTTTTCAAGTGCTAATGGAGTTTATGCTCCTCCAAATCCTGGAATTAATTCATCGTTCCAGAAACGTGATAGAGTTAACCAACTTAGTGTGTTATGGATCATTTTTTTAGTTTTAACAACCATATGTACAGTACAGACAAAAGAAGGGGACCCCATGGGTAGTCTAGTATGAGGATTGTCATGTGAACTGATGTAATGAAAAGTGGAGAAAAGCATTCTTAATGATTTCATGGCAGATATAGTATATTTTAAAAAGATGTGGTCTATGTTTGTATGAGGAATAGTAGGAAAGTCTTGCACAGTATTTTTTTTATTTGAAGCTAAGGAACGCTGCAGTGAGTGTGTTGTTACTGTCCTTCAAAATGGCACATGGGCCTGCAAGTCCCATCATCTCACCGCTCTTGTTGAGCTGAAGAATGCATTGGGTAACAGCCACCAAGACTTCTGCAACTGAAGTGAATTGTTGTTCTAGCAGGGGCAGTTTGAGCTTGGGGATCAAGTTGAAGTCAGAGGAACTGAAGTCAGGACTGTATGGAGGATGGGGCAAGATCTCAAAGGACCTGAGCAGGTTGGCCACAGTCATCACGATATGTGGTTGCATATGATATATCATGCAGAATGAACACATCATGTTGCAGGAGCTCAGGATGCATCTTGTGCATTTTCTGCCAAAGACTGCTGGAACTTCCAATAAACCTTTCCAGTGACAGATGTGCCCTCCAGAATTTACTCTGTCAAGATGACACCCTCATGGTCATATGCTGTAATCATCATCTGCTTCAGTTTTTTGACTGAACTCTGCGAAACTTTGGTTGAGATGAACCTGCTGCTCGCCATTTGCTGCTTTGAGACTTCAGTTCTGGCTGAAAGTCCCTGGCCCAATAAGTAGTCAATGGTGATGATGCGTTCGATGAACTCCGACCGTACAGCATTTAATCTGTTCAACAAGTGAGTTGATGTTTCCACGCGATGACATTTCTGTTCTGTTTTGAGTTAGTGTGGCACCCGCCTTGCGGAGATCTGTTTCTTCAAGTTGACTGTGAGGATTTGATGTGCCAAATAATGCTTTTGCATCAATATCGTCGCACGTGTTGTGATGATCTTTTCCAAGCAGTTCTGCAAGACGTGCCATGGTTGCCTCGTTAGTCGTAGTTATTGATTGTCTGGATCTCGGATCATCTAAGATGCTTCAGTGGCCATGATGAAAACAGTCTGCTCAGCATGACACTGCTTCGGTCGACGGTGTCACTTCCACACATTTCCACCTATGCTTTCTGGATGTCTGTGGGTGTTTTCCCACATAACGATTTGATTTTGATGTAGGCATGTTGATCTTTACGTGTGACAGTACCTGAGTGTTTTGCAGATGCCATTGTCAGTCGCCTTCTGCTCAGCACTTGTTTACTGCAGTCCGTCACGCCAGTTCTCATCTGTCACGTCTGCAAAAATGCTTGTGCAAGCGTTCAACGTGATTGCGTCCATCACGCAGTGTGTTGCCAGATTGTGCAAGACACATATCCCACTAGCAGACCCCGCCACGCGTTGTTGTGGCTCAAAATGTATTTATTATAAATTTATAACACTTCCCCGTGGGGGGGATTTTTCGAATAATTTCTTCTTAGTGTGCATTCTGTTGACGTACCTTAAAATGCAAGAAACCGCATCTAAAATAGTATAAATAGAAGCAGAGTTCTTTACGGTAAGCCTTAATCCTAACCATCTCTCTTCAGTGGGGGGGAATTTCGACACGTATATTATATAAAAACACGTGCGTATTCGAATGCAGCGTTGTGTCAAAATTTCAAAGGAATCGGTAGGAACAAACGAACATTATATTTTTATTTATATAAATAGATAGAAGATGATCCACTTTAGTTCATTTTCACAGAAAAGCGTAATGCCTCGCAGAAAAACAAACTTAGGGCGTCGTACTCGTAGCGCCATCTGTTGGACATAAAAGCCTTAATCTAGATTATATATTTTAATTTATATGAATGTTTAATGGAATAATATACAGCCTATGTCCACCCTGAGGTTCCATTTTAAATATTGGTGAAAGAATTTTTGAAATTGGATGAGTAGTTTCGGAGATTACCTGCTGCAACGAAACATACATACATACATACAAACATTACCTCTTTATAATATTAGTATAGATGTATCATTTGGAAAAGAACAAACTAATTAGTGAATTTCTGGATAAGGTTAATACTAACAAGGATGGGTTTAAACTGAAGATGGAACAAGAGAGAAAAAAGAAAGAAAACTTAAAACAAAACTTATATCTAATATATACAATAATATGGCATATTGCCACAACACACAACGGATCGGCTCGGATGCGATCGAATACGGAGATTTACAGATTAGTCTTCAAATATCGAAAAGGAGGACATTTAAGACACTTCGGGAGAGGACAGAACTTACAAAAAGACTCTCCTCCTAAAGGAGAACGATTGGTCACCTTAACGTTTAAGGAAAGAGGAGAGAGCAGGTAATTACAAGATATGAAAACATGTAATTAGGAATAAAGCAGTGCCGATATCAGATTGCCGTTCACTTGCATCGAATCGTCTGAGCACCTGTATTTTAGTTTCCAGCGAAATGCTTTTTCTTGTCGCTTTACTTTCTTTTTTCTTTGCAATCACCCATTGGAAAATTAAAAATTGTCGTATTTATCAAAATAAAATATTATGTTTATATCTTTATACGCACAACGTTGATTACCGATCATAAATCAACTGTGACGCAGCAAACATGCGTTCGAACTGCTATAATACGTGCTGCGAGACTGCATGTGCGTATCAAAGCAACAAAATTGTGCGCGATTTCGGGGAATTCCAATACTACCGCGTAATACTGAAACAGCGTGAAGCCGGTCTTACTGTACTGTACCTTCCCACCAACGGTATTACTCATGTTATTAATAAACTCAGTGCATCATCCAGAATTGGTGTCAACAAGCCAGTTTCATTTCGTATTACGTTGCATCTTGTTAGATCGTCAGTTGCTTCATAACCAGAGTTAGCCATACAACTTTAATCTAATTTCCAGACTGCCCGAACGTTGCGGAGAACTAACTAGCAAGTGTTGCTTTCTATGTTCGAAAGCAGATGTAAGAGTTTAAGCATATTATCATCAGCCACCCTTCTGTCGATTCTCACTGTGCGGCGGTTAGTTACCAAATATACCTTTCTGCTTTCGTGGGCCTCAACTCGTAGCCCTCATGCAATTTCCAATCGCGCACGCCATAGTTTTTTGCACAGTGCAAAACGAAGCGAAACCACGCAGTCGAATTTGTGAAAAAAAAAAACGCTATTTGCAGCAAAGAAAATTGTACAAAATCGCAAAAGTTAAATTATCTGCAGTCGAGAAGCGTGAATCGGCCGGGAATCGAACCCGAATCACTCGCTTGGGAAGCGAATATTCTTCCGTTGAACTACCGGTGCTCTTGCGCGCCGTCATCTCTACAAGAAATTCGACTTAACTTCCTTCCTTTCCCCGCGAGACGAATAATTTCGAAAAATTATTTCTTAAGGTTAGTTCACACTGAGCGAATAGTGAAAGTGAATGAAAAGCGATTTTTTTTTTTTCGCTTAGCGAAATCGATCCATACAATCAAAAGCAAAGCTATTGCGAATTTTAAGCAGCCAATCATTTGCAAGTTAGAGAAAATGTCATCTGGAAAAACTAAATGACTGCTTTCGATATTCTGTTGTTAATAACGCTTGATTGTTTATTGAGAAAAAAAGATACGAGGAGCAGTCAAAAATTCCTGGAATTGTGATCTTGTACCGTATATGACAACGCAGACCTAATCACCTTCAAAGTAGGCTCTTTCTGAACAAACACGCTTGTTCCATTGATCCTTCCAATGTTGAAAGCAGGCGTGGTATGCTTCCTTTGAAATTTTCCGGAGTTGGGCCGTCGTATTCGATATGATGTCTTTCCTGCTTGCGAAACGCAGGCAGGGAGGACATCATATCAGTCCCTTTGAGGCCTATTTTGAAAGTAGGGAAAAGCCAAAAGTCACTAGGAGCAAGATCTGGAGAGTAAGGTGACTGGGTGATGGCAGGAATGCTTTTGTCGGCGAGAAATTGTTGCACAACAAGCGATGTGTGACTCGGTGCGTTGTCGTGATGGAGAAACCACTGTCCACGCCTATTGTCCGGCCGCTTCCTCGTAAACTTGCTTCAGGATTGACAGCATCTCTGTAGCAGTTTTCTCCAATTTGCACATGAACTTGATGTTTGCACGCTGTTCGAACTGGGACATTGCGCCGAATGATAAGCAGTCACGTTCAATAATTATAAAGGCACTACAGTAATGACTGTGCAAGTATAAACTTGCACGAGCATTACACACTGTGAATAGACATGCTGAATTTCCCACCATAGCAATGCATAATTTTATCTTATATCGCATTTTCTAACTATAGGTAAATTCCGGAAACTTTTTGACTGCCCCTTGTACGTCAAAAAGAAAACTATGCTGGGCGAGAGGAATATTAAAAATCCATGAATTACAACATTTACTCTATTGCGTGAGAAAGTTTGTGTCATCATCTTGAAACAACAAGAAGCACGTGAGCACTAGCGGGAATAGGATTGGTGGCGAAACAATTTCGCCACTAGCGAAGAAGCTCGACAGTATCGAACTCCAAAACGATTCGCGAAATTATAAATTTCGCCGGAAACGTCATATCTGACTGTTATTCTCTCTGTTTTTCGCTTCAGCCAACAGTGCGAACTAAGCTTTAGTGTATAGTACACTCTCATGACGTATCATTTGTACCAAATTTCAACTTTCAACTCCAAACCGTTGGACTCTGCGCTTATTATTATTATCAACTCATCTCGATTATATTATAAGAATATACAGTTTTTGTTTAATCTAGACTCATTCATTATTTTAGAAAATTATTCACAGATGGCGTAACATCATTGCGCACGAGGAAATTTCTTAATATAAAAAGGCTAATTTAAATTTGTTTAAACGGAGCACGTGTTTGAAAATTTGAATCTTTCCGTTTTATCAATAATTAAAAATTTTTACTCGTGTAATAGTTAAATGATTAATTTAACTATTACACGAGTTCGTGCTACTTTGTTACGTAATATATCGGTAAAATTATTATTCATAGATATCGAAAACCAAGTTTAGAGAAAATCAGATAATCTCCCATCTATCAAATACGCGTAAATAATATTGTCGTCATTGGTCTGACGCACTTCCGATTACATCATAGCGCGGAACATGTACGGTACACAAAATCGAAAACAAACTACCTCAATTTAAAATTAACAAATGATATAACTAATTAAGTTGGAAGTATAAAATATTTCTGTTATTTCGTCAAAAAAAAAGAAAAAAAAAAAAGAAAACACATTTCAAATCCGAACAGTTTTTCGATAGGTGGCGTTTTGTACTGTTCTCCATTTTCCTTTCCGGTTTTGATAGAGCATACGAAAGCAGAAGTCTTGTCTCCCTTAACAAGTCTAATTTTAGTTACCCTCTCTCAGGATATGGATCAAACCGATGACATATGTGTTCTCTGTTGTAGAAATATATCGATTTATGCCGTAGGTTTCTGCGACCATCACGTATGTTACGAATGTTCAACTCGAATGAGAGTCCTCTGCAAGCAAAACGAATGTCCAATATGTAGGAGCGATCTACCAAAGGTGTGTAATAAATACAAAACAATGATTTCTCCTTATTAAGTAATCGATATTAATTACTTATTAAGCACTTCTAGAGATACACGACTATAAGGATGTGGTTTTGTAATGTGTTTTGATTCATTATGAATGAAGTTTCTATACTTCATCGTTTACATCTGTTTTTAATTCTATAAAATTAAATAAAACTGAAGCTATAACAATTTAAATAGTAGATACGGAAACAATAAACAGGATGAATGAAGTAGTGTAAATATTTATAAATATTAAAATACATATTATACAGAAATATGTTTAAATATTGAGATTAAGAACAATATGTTAAGGAATTCTTCAAAGAAATCAAATTTGAACTTTACAATGTTACAGGAAAGTTGATCTAATTAGTAAATTTCCTCATCGTGGTGTAATAGTGACTTGAGATGATGTAGAGATAAGGTGAATGAATTTAAAGAAGATTGCTTCTGACATAGTCCCAATTCTAAAGTTTTCTTGTCATACATGTAAATAAGACAAGATTTATCACATAAATTTAAGAATAATTTATTTAGATAACCTTAATTTAATAAAAAAAAATTAATAAATCAAAAATATTTTGTAAAATACGGTAGACTCTGTTAATTGGCATTCGTGGGGATTGGTAGATAAACGTGCTTTTGGTTGCATGAGCATTAATATTAAAAATAGGCCTAACTAATACTATACCTCATACAATATTGACTCTATTGATGTGATATTAATTTTGACGTTTGAGGTAATTTAAAGCAAATAAAGACTGACTTGATTTAATGTAATATGCATCCAAACAAAAACATCTGAGATGTAAAAAATTATGCCAAGTAAAAATCTATGACAATTTAAACAATGATCAAAATTTTTTTTAAGTTTTTTCTTTGGTAAAGATAAGCTTTGTGCTTGGAGGTGAAATGTAGAAAACAGTAATACAGGTAAAAATCTTGTGGGGTACCACTTTCAAGTGCCAAGCTTATCTTTACCAAAGAAAAACTTCTAAGAAAAATTTTGACCATTGTCTAAATTGGTATAATTGTATTATATCTCAGATGTCTTTGTTTAATAATTATATTAGTTCACCAAGACATAATACGATGACGTATAGTTCAATTGGCACTCTGTGATTGAGCACATCGCTAATCAACACGCCACCAATTGTGTTGATTGGCAATGTGCTCGGTCATCAGCTGAGAGCGCCATTTCAACAGGCTGTTTAGAAAACTCTTTATAAAAAGTTTTAATTTGCATGAATTTGAGCTTTTGTAATTCTGAGTAACATTTTGAATAAAAATTCATTTGTTTCCATGCAATTTTATCTTTATAAGCATAAAATTAAGCCTTAAAACGGAATTAGCTCTGATGAAATCCCCATGAACTTTGACTTATCGACCTGGAAGTTTCATGAGCATCTCCCTGATAACGAGAAAGGCTTAAGTTTAAAATTTGAGCTTTCAAGACCCAGTAGTTTTTTCTCTATGAGCATCTGTAGTGCTGAATGAAGAGAAAGAAGTGAAGAAAATACAGCTTTTTTGGAGATTTTTGCACTTTTCAATTGCTTATATTTTGGCAACCACTTTATAGAAAATCTTGAAATTTTGCGCACTATCTAAGAAAACAATTTTCTTTTGAATGAGATATTTGGAATTACTTCAGGTGTTTGGAGAGCAGAAAAATTTACCCAGAAATCTGCAACTATGATTCCTGTGTGTGTGTGTATATATATATATAGTCAGTCAGTGACTTTTTTACTGATGGGGACTCACAACTCTTGATGATTAAAAATAAAATCTGTTAAAGGCAAAAAAAATTTGTTTTTTAATTAAAAATTTCTTTTAGAAAATTAAAACAATCAAAAGATCTAATATATCTTTAGAAAGGATCTCAGATAAAACCAAAAAAAAAAGAGAATGTAATAAAAAAATTTTTTTTAATGTATAATTAATGTATAGTCTTTCAGTAAATTTGTAAAAACTTGGAATCTGAAAAGCATTTACTTTAAACTGAAGAGGAATGTAACTCCTAGAAATGCATATTTAATAAACTAGAACAACCAAAAGGTCTCTTGGTACCCAAGTGAAAACATTTCTTAAAAGTTCTCACGCTACAAGCTGATATAGAAGCTTAATAACTACTAATGTAACAGCTTTGTGAATGCAGTGTACGGGTATGATTTCGGTTAAATGACAGTAGGAGACAAACGTGGTGCAGGAGTCATTGGTCTGACGCACTTCCGATTACATCATAGCGCGGAACATGTACGGTACACAAAATCGAAAACAAACTACCTCAATTTAAAATTAACAAATGATATAACTAATTAAGTTGGAAGTATAAAATATTTCTGTTATTTCGTCAAAAAAAAAAGAAAACACATTTCAAATCCGAACAGTTTTTCGATAGGTGGCGTTTTGTACTGTTCTCCATTTTCCTTTCCGGTTTTGATAGAGCATACGAAAGCAGAAGTCTTGTCTCCCTTAACAAGTCTAATTTTAGTTACCCTCTCTCAGGATATGGATCAAACCGATGACATATGTGTTCTCTGTTGTAGAAATATATCGATTTATGCCGTAGGTTTCTGCGACCATCACGTATGTTACGAATGTTCAACTCGAATGAGAGTCCTCTGCAAGCAAAACGAATGTCCAATATGTAGGAGCGATCTACCAAAGGTGTGTAATAAATACAAAACAATGATTTCTCCTTATTAAGTAATCGATATTAATTACTTATTAAGCACTTCTAGAGATACACGACTATAAGGATGTGGTTTTGTAATGTGTTTTGATTCATTATGAATGAAGTTTCTATACTTCATCGTTTACATCTGTTTTTAATTCTATAAAATTAAATAAAACTGAAGCTATAACAATTTAAATAGTAGATACGGAAACAANATTTTATATACTTATAAGTATAAATGGCTTTATTCTTTGAAAAATTTACAATTCTAAATACATATTAATTAAACTTAAAACTACATATTCACTATTTAATTTAATAATAATTATTCAATAATACATTGCTTATCAGTAATTAATTTGAATTTCTAAAAGTGATTGAAATAAAAATAATGTATTAAAGTGAATATTTACCATGTTTTGATAATTCAAGCAGGTTATTATAACAGTTGAATTCTTATAATTATAATAATACACTTGAGATAAATGTTTAAAATATTATTGATTATATGTAGTGAATAAAAATCTAATGGAATTTTTAAAACAGTATAAAAATTTTCAAGAGTTTTTAGGAAGTTTCATAAGATTAAGAGTTTTGTATTAATAATACAGGTTAATCATAAACTTTGACATAAATATAAGTATTTATTATACACAAAAGTTGTTGGCATTACAATACTGTATGTGATATAGTTTATTCAATAAATTGAACTTCCTTTACTTGAAATTCTAACTTGAGTTTATTTTTGTCTTGGGTTAACTCCCATTGACTCAATGCATTATATTTCTGTAAGTCAAGTAGTTTTGAGATCTTGTTTTGCTACCTTGAAATTTAAAATCCAGATAGTCTAATTTTATTTGCTTTGTATTTTCAAGAGGATGAATGATAATATAAAATTGAAAGATTGGTATTGTATAGAATTATGCCTTTCATTGCATGACATAAAATTCTAAATTAATGATATTTTGTACCTAGAATAATTATTTATTTCTAAATGCAATCAAATCTTATCACTTTAAAATTTTTATATTTTATTTTGAAAATTTAAAAAAACAATGGTTTAAAAATGTGACAATCATATCTGTGATTCAACAATTTATTGAATTATTGACAATCAAATTTGAGTTTGTTCATATCTGTCTCCTTATTTGGAACTAAACATTAATAATGTATAAATTTCACTGCAAAGTTTGAATTGCATGTTGACTTTTTCATCAGTGATAGTGACTAGTTAATCAACTTATAGTTAGTACAGTTTGTTTCATGAATCTTGGCTGGGCTGTAAAAATGCACAATAATAGGGATCAGTCAATTTATTTTATGAAGGGAACAGATTGTGACAAATCTTTGAGGGGATCACCATGTTTTAACAAAAAAAGGTGCACTTGAGTTTTTTAAAACTTCCAGAATCCCAAGTATCATGCAGTGCCCAGCTAAGATATGTAAAATGATATGTATTCACTATTTCCATTCCAAAGTAGATAAAAATGGCAAACAAGAGAAAACTGAAGGTTTTGTTGAGAGTGGAAAAGGTATGTCATAAAGATCAGTGGAAAATAAAAAGAAAATATCAAAATTTGACATTCCATTGAGTCTCTCTCTCTATATTTGAGAAACAATAAGAGCAATTTGGAAAACTTCAATGAACAATATCAGACAAAACATAAAATAAAGTGTAAATGTGAGTGTTCAGATGCTAAAAAGTGTGTGCTGCAGTAGTTTTTGCAGTTTAGAGACAAGAATATTCTTGTCAATGGAAACTTCTTGGAGAGAAAATTGAATGATTTGGATAACAATTGGGACATATCTAATTCAGAGCAAGCAATGCATGGCTGAATAATTAAATTCAATATATATATGTATATTGAATTTATTGAATTGAAAACTATTATATATATATAATAGTTTTCAATTCAATAAATTCAATATACATATATATCTGAATTATCTATTATATATATAATAGTTTTTAATTCTATAATGATAGTGCAGAATTGTAAGAGTAGGATCACATGAAATGGTTGGAACATTTTACCAGAAATTGTGCAGAACTACAGCTTGGATAACATTCTCACATTCTCAATGCAGACAAAATACTTTTTTTAAGTGTCTGCTAGATCTGTTGGACAAAACAATGGTGTTCAAAAGTGATTCATGTCATGGTGGTAAGGAAAGCAAAGAATAAGAAGTGTTTGGAAATGAAACAGTAAGCTTAAGAAAGCAATATACAGTATTAACATAGTTATCTGATGCAAATCATGATAAATAAATAAAATACTTTCTTACTGGAACTACAATCAATATAAATAAAAACAAAACCTTTAAACATTCCAGCAAATCATTTTTAATATCTTAAAAATGTTTTTGAACGCTTTAAGTGGTCATCCTCAGTTATCATTCTGAATCGAACGAAGAATTTGAAATTACATAAAATAAAATTCAGTTACACAAAATTTACATTAACATTTAACAAGCTTAAATAATCACAAAGACTATACAAATTATTTAAAACGAAATAAAGAAATAAAATAAAATATATATGTTACCGCTAAAGCTCGAAATCCGTTAATGTGCGCATTACCTAGCTAATCTGCAGATTAACTAGGGTGATCCGTTAAAGCTGCGAAAATTATTCCATTTCTCAAATTACCTAGGTAATGTTCAGATTATCTAGGTAATCTGCAAATTACCTACTAGGCACTCGGTAAAGTGAAAATAAGATTTTTGCTGGAACAACAGCAACGTTTCTGTACGCTTAAATTAACATAATGTTATTTATTTAATTTTCAATATCTAAAGAATCAAGTTAATACAATCAACAAATTAGTTGATTGAATCAATCATCAATCAATTAAAAAAACTTTAATACAAAAATCAAACGGTTTAAAATATTACTACAATTAGGGAAATGAATTTGCAAAACATATGATAAAATTGTACTTACTTATTAGTGCAATCTAAAGATTGGTGACACTTTGAATTACGTAGCAATTGGTTTTTGCGACAAGCACGCCTATTTGTGGTACATTTAGATTTGCAGTCACATTTTCTGAAACCCTGCCCAGTACCAAGGGATTGTTTTATTGCTGTTTGACGTAAAGATATTTCTACAGCAGGGACATCCATCTTCTTTCGTTAAAAATCTCTCTTTGCAAACACTGAATTCAGATTTTGCATACAATTGTTTTAAAATACCTGTTTTAGTATCAAGTTTATAAAAGCCATCCTCTGTTTTACTAAGAACCACAGCTAAAATTGAACGTGCATCAGTTTTTGCTCTGTCTTCTTCGGGTACTTTAATTCTCACAGCGAAACCTTCATCGACGTTTGGGTGCTTTGCATTAGAAACTGCTAACATTTTCTTTGCTTGCTTTTCTAAACATTTCTTGGCTTCATCACGCTGTATTTTCTGATCCATATTCTTTTTACAGATGATGCACAATACATTCTTACCATACCCTTCCTCTTTAGGATCTACTTCACCACAAACTGCGTGAACAAACATATTACACGATTTACACTTGTGAGCACTTGATGCTGCTTTTGAGCAAACAATACAGACTATGTCTTGTATAGTGCTCTTTACAGGCTCCGTACGAAACTGTGATGGCGATTCTGCTGAAGTTGAGAGTAACTCAGTGATGACTTCTTCAACTTGCAGAGGCGATTCCTTGGAGGTGCAGGGTAACTGAATATTCTTCGTGACTGCATCATCAATCAACGGTATAGAAGGCAGTTTAAGATTACTATCGGTAAATTCTTGTATTTCTATAGGTGATTCTGTAGAAGCGGGGGATAACGGAATGTCCTCTTGAGTAAGATTTGACTGTGATCTCATAATCACAGTCTCTTGTGAATCTTCTAATTTTTCAAGGTCTTCTTCAGTTTTTATCGAATGTCAAACAATTCTCCGGCATGGACAAACTTTTTCAAACCTTTCTCGCGCATCTGACAACGGCTCAATGAGTTTTTCACAGCCTCGTACAGTCAACACATCACACCTTTGAATTATTTGATAATCTCGAGATGATTCTTTCTTCTTGGAAACTTTTATTTGCTTTACATCTTCAATTATGGAATCATACTTTGGTTTGTTATTAAAACACTACGTATTATATTTTAAATCTTCGCTAAAGAGGTTTGCGAAGAATCTTTTCTTGATTTTACTCACCAATTCGGTGCTTGCTTGCATTCTAGGATTTAAATTTATCTACGTAAAAAGAAGGAGTGGGGAAAGGAAGTGAAAGAAACAAACTTTTGAACTTTAATGATACGGAAGCCGTTAATGTGCAGATTACCTAGATACTCTGCAAATTACATAGGTAATTTGAGAAATTGAACAATTTTTGCAGCTTTAATGGATCACCCTAGTTAATCTGCAGATTAGCTAGGTAATGTACACATTAACGGATTTCGAGCTTTAGCGGTAACATATACATCCAGTAAAAAGTATTATAATTAACTTTTCCACTTATATAAACTATATCAACTCATTGTAGAAGGATTCCACGCCGATGACAATCCGTCAGCATCCCTATGATTAATACAGTTTGTGTTCAACTGCGCCTTGTGAATTTCTAATTTTTCTAGATGTTTCACGGCTTGCTTGGATCACGGCTTGTAGCCTTGATGATCGATGCCTGGTCCCAGAAGACTGATATCCTGCTGTTTGGCAAAAGCAGCAAGCACTGTAGAGTCTATGTTTTTATTCACCAAGTGCTTGTGTTTAACAATTCTTTTCTGTAAGTTTCTCACAGTTGCTCCTATGTATACCAAGTTGGAGTTAAATCTATGATCTTTTAACAGTATAGAGTATACCCCTGCCATCATGTTGCATTCGTAACTGCCTTTATCATTCCTTAAGAGTCTGTATACAGTGGGATTACACCTGTAAACTATCTGTATATTCTTACTTCTGGTAACCTTATTAACCATTCCTTCGAGGAACGGTATGTAATTGAGCACGACTCTTTCCTTATGCTGATTCCCT